GCATGCACACATTATTGTGACAAAACTTCCTCGTATCTCCAGCTTAACACTCATAATCCTGTCACTTCTAATTACCTCACAAGTACCATTTCTTAAACTCTTGTCAAATATAATATGTATTCTATTCTTCCCCTTTTCACCTGTTCTCCAGAGGACAGTTTATAGCTATTTCCAGCTCCCTTGCTTTATCTCCTTTCTACCTATTTTCCTTCAAGCATAAGATCCTCAGCCTTATTTATTTCATCAAGTCTGCTCTTTCCATTCATTGTCCCAATGTTGAACATTCTTCTCATTCTAACATTAAAAACCCTCCTCTTTTCCTTTCATTGGACTAACTTATTTAGTCAAAGCTGTCCTTGGTTCGATAGCCAAAACTCGTTTCTTGCAGTTTTTGGATAAAATGACTTCACATCACTTGCAGAGTATGACCAAATTCTTGTACCTCTCTTATCTTGTTTGGTTTTGGCATACAAGTTTTACAGTTGGATGCTGTTCCCAACACCAACCTTCACTTTTTAGTGGGCTTACCGACAGGCACCTAATGGACTAGCTTGACCTCTCTGTGACTGGTATTTAAAATAATTCATTGTTTTTTTTTTATTATAAGTTTTATTACTCTTAAAGATGCGCAAACTTTTAGATAAAGTAAAAGTTTGCGCACACATTATTGTATGCGCAAACTTTATAAATAGTAATTAGTTTATTTTCACTAATTACTATTTATTTTCTTGAAGCAAAGTTTAAATGCTTATTTTAATAGTTTGCATGTATAAAATTTAAAATTATTGTGTACTTACATTTTCTAAAACTGAAGAGATTTTGCAATAATTTGAAAAAGATCAAAACAATTATCTGTCTTTTTGAATTATAAATAGCAAATATGTCTGTCCAGAAAATATTAAATTGTAAAAATTTAATCTATTATTTGATGTATTTAAAAATATGACTAATATATCATATCCCAGATTAAATCAGTCAGTTGTAAAAAATATAATATTAATTTTTTGAATGAATAATATTTTTTCCTGGATTTATGTATGTTGTTTTTTAAATCTATTTTTCTATATAATTAATTAAAAATTTATGTTTCTTTTAAATCTTAAATTCATTTACTTGTTTTTAGCATTTGAAACAATCATTAGTACAGTAATACCCCGAACTTATGCGATAGGTGGGACCGAGCGATAACCATGTAAGTCGAATTCACATAAATCGGGGTATAATTTCGCAATTTGTGTAAAATCCAAGTCGGATGTATGTAAGCTAATAAATGTTCTCGTTAATCTTATCTCGTCTTTTGATTCATTCGCGGTTGTAAGAAATCACCACATAGAGTCTCTCGAGTCTCCGTAGATATAACAAACACAGAAATAAATAACACAAAATAAATTGTAGCTATGTGTTGATTTCGCGCTACACGTCCGAACATATAAGCTGAACAATAGTATGGGGGGAGTGAGTAATCAAGAGTTGTGTGACGCTCAAACAAAAGACAAATCGACGAGATTTGAAAATCTCATAACTCCGGGTTCGCGTAAGTTGAGGTATTACTGTATAACAATTGATTTGATTAATTTTTTCACAATTCTGTATAAAAGAATAGCCTAATACAGAGGTGGCAAACCTATGGCGTGTAATATATAATAAGATTTCAATTTATCACCTGATCAGCCTTTTTGCAATCACTTTCTTTACATTTATTCTAATTAAAGCATAATCATTTCATTTATTTAAATATCATTATTCAAAATCTAACATTTTGGCTCACACAAACATTTTTAATGATAAATATGCTTACTATATGATGTGTAGACAGACAAAGGCTCACCATCTCTGGTCTAATGTCTAGTGATGAAAGTAGATAGTATAGACAATATACATCAGTTATCAATAAGGCCAGGACATCTAAACACAAATTATGTAAATAGTTGATTTTTAGTGCCTAGATGTTCTAGTCTTAGTTTTCAAGTACATCATAGAAGGAAATAATATAGTTTATAGATGTGTATGTGCACATTAATAGGAAGAAAAGTATAAGATACATTTAAATATAGAGTAGTAGGGAATAAGTTTAAAGTGTTTAAATGAATATTGAAGAATTATTATTTTTAATTATAATAAATTATAATAATAAAGCTTACTATGGATATTCCTTGATTTATGTGGTTAATTAATCCTTCAATGCTAATGTGTGTATCAAACTCACATTAATCAAATACAGTGGTACCTTGGTACTCAACCAATCAATCACCACCTGCTAGAACAAATTTTTGGTTACCAACACCTTATTTGCTTAGAAAAATATATCTGCGTTAAGTAAAGACAGTTGTTAAAGCTACATTAATTAAAATTTCTGCTGCATATAAAAAGAGATTGACACAATTAATTTTTCACATTAGTCAAATTTTGCATTAAGCAAGGATACCTGTATTTTAATTATTATATTTGAATTTATAAAACTATGTGCTATAATAAGTAATGAAGTTTGAAAAGTTTTTATAAAAGAATAACCACCCTTCAGTAAATCTCTATGTAAACTTCCCTAAACTGTGTGCTTCCACAAGCTTGAAGAATATCAAGACAGTAGCTAATTTCACTTGAAATTTTGTAACTGTAGCAACTGATTGTTAGAAAATTTTTTTTATTGAGGAATTCATGATCATTTAAAACTTAACATAATGATGCTCTATCTTGCTAAAAGAAGACATATGGCTGTATTTTTCTAATTTAGGAACAGTGTGTACAGTTTTAGTATATCAAGGTAATGACCAAAGTCAGTTTTTGTAGGAAAAAAGTGGTCCAATCATAAGATTAATACCAGATGCTTATGTTGGGACTGTCATGCTCATACTTAGGAAATGAATGACAATTTTCAGATTCTCATATCAGGAAATTGTGTTAACTTTACTAAACAAGTGGAATGTGTTTCAGTAGTGAAAACAACATTATACAAAAATGTTCACCTTGATTCACATTCACATTCAATTACTAAATGACAAATTTTTCATGTAGGTTGTCATTAGATTTTAATCTCCTGGATGATTGTAGTTGTGAATTTGTCTCTTTAATCCGATTTTCAGTTCGGTAGACTTATCATATACAGCATTCAGGTTATGAACTTCCTTTATTGATTTGTCATATGCATTTCGGACTCAATTGTAATTTAAGTCCCTCTTCAGTACAAACTGTTTAAAAAATTTATATACAATTACTTAAAAATTATATACAATTAGTGAGATTACAAAAAATTCTTCACGTGTAGATAATATTTACTGACATAAAACTATTAAACAATATACGTTACCTCAGATTCTGTTTTCTAAAAACCTCGTGTATAATTGGTAACGTTGTAAAAGAATAAAAATACAGCCATTTAAAAAACACTTCAACTACATATTCACATTAATACGTTGCACCTAATATATCAATATATTTATAATTATTACTTTATAACATTGTATATTTTTACATCAAAAAACTTAACAATACTCACACTTTACAAATGTTCATAAAAACCTTTACAATTACAACTTTTTTCAAGAAAAATTCGTATGCACTTTATTGAAATGTTGCAGTAATAATGAATGTTTTTTTCAGGTTAATTACTATTATATTGTAAAAGTGTTTTTTTCAGGTTAATTACTATTATATTGTAAAAGTGTGACTGTATCCTCTTAAGTGTGTTAATAGTAATTAACCTGAAAAAAACATTCATTATTACTGCAACATTTCAATAAAGTGCATACGAATTTTTCTTGAAAAAAGTTGTAATTGTAAAGGTTTTTATGAACATTTGTAAAGTGTGCAACGTATTAATGTGAATATGTAGTTGAAGTGTTTTTTAAATGGCTGTATTTTTATTCTTTTACAACGTTACCAATTATACACCGAGGTTTTTAGAAAACAGAATCTGAGTTTGTACTGAAGAGGGACTTAAATTACAATTGAGTCCGAAATGCATATGACAAATCAATAAAGGAAGTTCATAACCTGAATGCTGTATATGATAGTCTACCGAACTGAAAATCGGATTAAAGAGACAAATTCACAACGAAAATAGCAGCAGCCATAAGTGATTTTCTGGATGATTGTACTTTGTAAATATAAACTTTCAATGTTTTATGAATTAGCTTCTTGATAAAGCACTGAGTTCAGCGTTAATACGATTTTTCTTATATCGCAAGTACTTTCGACGAGTATTATATCATCGTCCTCAGACGAAAAAAGAACAAATTTGAAAATTAGAACGTGCAGAGTGTTCCAAGTAGAAAACGGAAATATATATATATATTTTTTTCTTGTCAATTTCTAAATTATAACGTTCGGTAATTCCGTTGGTCACGTGCAACAAGCTTTTGCGAGCGTTCGAAACATCTTAAATCCACACGACTAGCAGCGCATGCGTTGAGGAGCGCTTTTGTGGGCTTTTCAAACACGTGCAATAAGCTTTTGCGGGCGTTTCGATACTGTATTCTGTGGAAAGCTGGATCTGGCCTAAAAACAAGCAATAGTGTTTTTTAATCCAGATCAATTCCAGTAATGATCACATGTTTGAGAACAAACTCTTTGATGTACTGCTTGAGAGTGAACTTGCTAAAATTTGAGAGCCATTTGTGCACTGTACCAAAATGGCTCTCAGACTTGGTATAGGCTTAACATGTAATAAAAGACTTGGCAACTTGAAAAAACTTTTTTTTTTTTTTGTTTTATCTTATTTTTATAAAGTTAATTTATTGAGATTCAATCTCAAAAGTTTCAATAAATATATTTTTGCATTTTTATTTTTTACTTAAAGCTATAATATGGTATATTATGTATGAGTTATATTTTATTTAGTTATCATATTAGTGATAAAAGTGATAAACTTTACAATAGCAAGATAATTTTCAAAAGCTTTTTTAGCAATCAAAAAATGCTTTCGAAATGCTTCTTTATTTTTTTAAACATTCATTTTATTAAAATTTAATTAAAATATTTTTAACATCTTTCATTTAACTTAGAGTTTCTTTGGCTTGGGACAAACAGCGGATATTGATATAATATTAGATGGTGAAGACACACGAAAGTTGGCAGAAATTAAAACAGAAGATGGCAAAAAAGAAAAACACTACTTATATTATGATGGAGAAACTGTATCTGGAAAGGTAATGTATTTTGTTTTTATATAAAAATCATCAGACAGAGAAATTTATTTTCCAAGTGAAAAATTAAACTTGAATAAAGAAATACTGGTTAAATTAACAAATCACTTGTTGTTTTAATTGGAAAGAAATTTTGTGTAGTTTTTATATCGTAACAAATGAACTATGTTGTGATAAGATTTATGGAATATGAAAATATTTAGAATATTATGATAAAATATAACTTTCAAAAAGTTGACATTTAATTATTTTGTGTGTTTTTGTTCTTTACAATTTTTTTTCATGTATTTTGAATTTTTCAAAAATACCATAGTGTTCTGTGCCAACAGTAGCATATAACCTGTGTCATTTGATATCAGCTTCTAGTATTTATTAGTTTTACTCATATTAATATTGGTTTGATGGTGATATGAATAATTTGAGATTAATATTTGATTAAAATAATGCTTTTTAGCAAATTTATTTTCATGTTCTGAAAATAATAGTATTAAAATGATTTTTTTTTTCATTGTAAGCAAATATCATTGGATTTTAATCCAGCAATATGATTTGTTTACTATTATATTGTTACCAAATAAATCACTCAAGTACAGCTGGGTCAATAAATTTATTATTTGGTAACAAATTATATTGTAAGTTGTAACAGTTCTGCTCTAACTGAATGAACACAACTCATAAACTAGGTCAGCTTTCCTAGGCCAGAACACTGCTAGTTATATTCTATGGGAATGTATGACATATTCCCCATTAAGTTGCATTGTAACAATACTTTGTTTCATATATACTGTAATTGTATTTCAATGTATAATAAACTTCTGTTTTACATTAGGAAAATTTTAAATATTTTGAGAATAAATTATATTTTTAAAATTTTAGTGAAACTTGTGATAAAATATGAATTTTTGTATATGTAATGGATATGTAATATAATTATAACAAATACAATTCAACAATAGTTAAATAGTCTCTCTTCAGTAATTTAATACTTACAATTTTTCTTTTTTTAATTTACTTATATAATCATAATTATTATATATTTCAGTATTTATTTTTTAATATTTTGTTAAATTTTAAAATTAAATTGTAATAAAAATAACATTAGTAAATGGTATACAAATACAGTAGAATCTAGATTATCCAAGTCCAGTTAAGCTTCTACATTATCTGAGATGAACATTTAAACGTATACACTAGTTTTCTTTATTGTAATCCATAAAATAAAGTTTAAAATGATAATATGTATTACAAATTGATTTGTTTTTATTAAATAATAGTTCAGTGATAAAATTTATCACATTAAAATGTAACTATAGTATCCAATAAACCAAAGAAGTGTTTTTTAGTAGTTTCCATGAATGAAAATATAGTTCACTTCATGCCAGTGTTTAGAAACTAAATATAGGACACTTCCATGTTGTGCCGTTATTGACAGCAATTTGTTAAATTTCAAATACCTTTATTTTCGAGTTGACAGCTTTTTTCAAGCTGTCAACTCAAAAATAAAGGTATTTGATTTTGCTGAAGATGACGGTTATAAACTGTTGAAAGTACTAGCAAGTATATCTGAAATTTAACAAATCTCTGTCAATAATGCCGCAACACGGACGTGTTGTATATTTAACTAATAGTAATACACATTTTTATTTTTAAACTATTGTGTTTATATTAGCTGTATAATGGTGTAAAAATTGTTGTTCTTATATACGATTAACTTTAATAAGCTATAAAAAGAGGCTTAAAAGTGATATAATGTATAAATCTTACATTCATAATTGTTAATCTGAAATGGTTGTGGCCATAATATTTAAATTTTCAGTTATCTGAAATAGCATTGCTTCACATTATGTTGGATAATTAGGATTCTTTTGTATTAAAAATTTATCAAATGATGTATTTCTTAAATTGTGAACATTTAAGATTTTTACCATATTTTTATTAAAAAAAAAAATAGCTGTTATAAATTAATGATATATTACTATGAGAAAGATAAAACAACACTATAATATACATGTTTGCAAAAATAAACTTTTCAGTTAAAACTGTTCTTGATTGTTACCAATTTGATATAAATACAGGATGCATAGGAAAGTCCCTTTAAATTACAAATTCTTCAGAAAATTCTTGCGAACAGAGAGAATTTTCTGAAATTCATAGAGCTACAGCTATGCAAGTGAGATAACGGTATAGTAAAGCAACTATTCCCGACCTAATGCAAGCGACAGCAGTGCCCCTAGTGGTGAAATTTGGAAGATAGGCAGTGCAAAACAAAAACAGATAGAGTAAACTTTCTAATTAGAAAGTTTTAGAGCATCAATTAATTAGTATGAAAAGACATGGTTCACACGGATAAGATAAATTGTCGTGTGTATACCCAAAACTGTCCGAAAGCAATGTACACCATTTTGTGTTAACGTTTGAAAGGAATAGCCATAGGTATGAAGAAATATGTAATTTATTGCATAAAATATGTACTTACGTCAATACAGTTTGATAACATCACACAAAAAACAACGGAAAGGCAAACTGTCACACAGTTATAACAAGTTAATGTCGAGTATGTTCGAAAAGTTCGCCATTGCTCACAATACATGCCATTGTTATCAAACTTTATGCAATAAATTGTGTGTATTTCTTCATACCTATGGCTATTCATTTCAAACATTTACACAAAATGGCGTGCATTGCTTTCGGACATTTTTGGGTATACATGCAACAATTTATTTTATCCATGTGAACCACATATCTTTTTGTACTAATTAATTGATGCTCTAAAACTTTTTAATTGGAAAGTTTGCTCTATCTGCTTTCGTTTTTGATTTGCACTGCCTATCTTCCAAATTTCGCCACTAGGGGCGCTGCTGTCATTTGCATTAGGTTGGGTGTAATTGCTTTACTATACCATTACTCACTTGCACAGCTGTAGCTCTCTCTGTTTGCAAGAATTTTCTGGGTTAAAGGGACTTTCCTATGTACCCTGTATATTCTCATTACAAAAAAAAAAAATATTGTTATACATTGCTCTATGACTGTTAACTATAACTCTTCTTATTCAATAATATATATAATTATAATTTTAAAGCTTGATGAAAGTTGTTTTTATTTGAGAAATTATTATTATTTTGAAATTTAATTTAAAAAAAAACTTATATAAAATTATAATTATAATACCACATTGTTAATAGAAACAAAACATTTTCTTGACAATAGAATTTTAGCTTTTTTTTTTTTTTTTTCCTGCTGCAAATGCTGCTGTTTGCATATTAATCTTCCAAAAAAAGTAATTGGATTTTATGATTAAATTCAGTTAATTTTTATCGATATAGTATAAAATCAATAATTACTGCAGTTGAAATTGTCTTACACCAATGAGAATTCAAAGCAAACCTTTGTAATGTATTAAAAAAACAAACCTTGTTTTTTAACCACTTATCTATCTGATTTGATATGTGATGCTTTGTGACATCATTATATAGATGGTAAAAAAGATATTTCTATTTTCATATTCTTATTTCATTTATCTTTGATTATTTTATCTTTATTATTTATAATTATATTGTATAAATATTCATATTTACTTAAAAAATATCAAATAATGAAAAATGAATGCTGCCATCTTTATTATTATTATTATTTATTTTTATCAAAAGTGAAATTTTATGCAAACTTTTTATCAGATGAAAGTTTTTTTTATTTATTTATTTATTATTGTTGACAGACTTTCAGTTAATCTATACTACTATATAAAGAGAAAATGTATTTTTTGTTTGAGACCACTAACCGTGAAAACTACTGAACCAATCATTACCAAACTTTAACTGTAGCATCTTTATGATCTCTGGAATGTTTACCATTAATCAAACCTACAGATTTTTTATTAATTAAATAAAACTGCAATGGGTTTTTGTCTGTCTGTTTCTTTCTCTCTCTTCACTAGATGGCGACACACGCTGTCTATAAGAAAAGCTATTATATTTGAAGAACTGACATTAAATTATAATTAGTTAATTAGCAAAATCTTTGAGGAATTAAAAAAGTGACGTCATCACGCTAGATGGACGTATGTGTACAATACTTATGGCATGTTTTTGAATTGTTTCTGCAGGTAATTGTACAAAATATTCGAAATAGTTATTGGTGAATATTTTTGAGATTGATTGATAAATAATGCCGAGAGCTGCAAGAGCATGAATAGGAAGAAACAGTTCATAATTGTAGACGACGTGAATCTACACTTCTACAGCAAAGACTGGAAGGGCAATGAATTCGTTCGGCTCAGAATCAAATGCGTGCAGCAAGGAATTTTTTAGGTTTCACATCAATATAACTTATTCAGAAGTTTTATGATTTTATTTTTTTATATTTTGCAAAACTTTCCTGCAATACTACACATTGATCACTCAAAAATAATTAATGAACAATTAGTTCAAATTTTCTAAGTTCTATATGTATATAAGAGCAGGCAGGCAGCGACGGGGATGCTAGTATTTTATAAAATTTATGAGTATTGTAATTGAATTTTACATCCTGATTACTATAACTATGTTGTAATAAGGATATAAAATTTAAACATTTTTCATGTAATTTAATAGAAGATTGTCAATATTTTTCAATTTTATTCTTACAAATTTATTTAGTCAAATGCTTTTTCTGATTATTGTGTATTAATCTTTTAATATATAAATTAATTTACAATATTTATATAGAATAACAATAAGTATTTATGTATTTTTTTTGCTTTTCGTTATTTTCAATCAAGTAATCGATACTTTTTATTCTAAAATAGGTTAACATTACCATGAGAAAACCTGGTACAAGACTTGAACATCAGGGTGTTAAAATAGAATTTATTGGTCAAATCGGTATGTAATATTGCTATTTTAATATAAAAGAAAATAATGCAAATGAAATGGTATCATTTGTTTCTATAATATATCAATGCTAATTTATGAATATTCTAATAAATTTTCTTAATCAATTATGCATTACTTTAGAACATTTCATTAATTTCCACAATACAAATGTAGATATTTAAATTTGAATTAAAAAGATTGTTGATTGAAGATTTTATTTTTTCAGTCATCTCAAATTATATAAATGAACTATATTTTTAAATAACAGAGAACATAATTGCATTCAATATGCAACTTACAAAATAAAAATATACAATATATATAATATCATTACTGTGTTTTCAATAACATAATATTAGACAACAGAAACTGGTTTTGTAATCAGTTTTTAAGTGGTCACCTCTACATAAAGGACAGTTTTTGAAAGTACCAATTTTTTTTCCTCTATTGACTTCATTGAAAATGCTTGGTAGTTAAATGGTCAGATGCTTGATGCAGCCAATGATTTACTGCACATTACTTATACAATAAGTTATACAATAATTTAATGGTCAGTTAATATAAAGTAAAAAAATTAATATATAGTAAACTCCTGCTAACTTGGACAACCTTCACTACCTATTAATCCAAGTTTATGAAAGTTTAAGTTATGGCGAGGTTTTCTGTGATGACACAAAAAAACAAGATGATGGATGTATGTGCAGTACAGTAATTTATTATGATCAGCTCTATATAGAGTTTTACTTATTTCGGTTATACTGTGGAACTTATTATTACAGGAAATAAGCTCAAAAATCTCATGACAGTACAGTATGTGGCAATGTATAATCTTTAATAACTTACTGTAGTAATCTCTAATGCATGGTATCGTAAAGACTTGGAGATTAAAACACTTGTCTAATTTATTAAAATCAAAACTCTTACAATTTCATTATATCAATAATTATAATTACACTCTAATTAAAATTTTTCTGTTGTCAAAAAATTTTAAATTGCTGTACTGCTTTTTTGAAAAATTTGTCCAAATTGGTAGGAATTTATTGTATTTCTAAAATATTGAAAGTCTGCAGATAATTCAGCATACATCATGGAAACAAAAACAGTTAAAACCAGAAATACTTTTTTCACATATATAAAAATTAAAAATTTACTGTTAAATTTTAATTTTTGGTAACAAGTTTTTTTATTACTTTAAAATTAAAATTAGATATAATTAAAAT